TGTAGCCTGGATGACAGAATGAGACTGTCTCAAAAAAAAAAAAAAGAAAGTTTACAGAATCTGTAGCTTAGGAAATGTAGTTACTGGTCACATAAAATTTTATTTAATGTGATCAGTTTCACATTGTTTAATTCAGAGTTCCTATATTCATAATGTCTGCCTTTTTGCCAGGCATGGTGGCTCATGCCTGTAAACCCAGCACTTTGGGAGACTGAGGCAGGTGGATCACCTGAGATCAGGAGTTTGAAACCAGCCTGGCCAACATAGTGAAACCCCACCTCTACTATAAATACAAAAATTAGCTGAGCATGGTGGCACATGCCTGTAATCCCAGCTACTCAGGAGGCTGAGGCAGGAGAATTGCTTGAGCCTGGGAGACAGAGGTTGCAGTGAGCCGAGATCATACCACTGCACTCCAGCCTGGATGACAGAGTAAGACCCTGTCTCAAAAACAAAAAAAAAGTCTGCCTTTTTTGCTGCAATATATAAATAGATGTTATGGAATTTAGAAGAACTTCTTTAGATCAGTAAATTTTCACAATTACATTTTAGAAGAGTAGATAGGGAACAAGATTGTTTGATGGCTGAAAACAGATATTGAGAGGTTTTGCTAACTTTGGCAGTGAAGCAGCATAGAAGTTCCATGAGACCATGGACTTCGGAGCTAGACCTTGAAATCTATGCCTCTGCCATTTACGTTATACAAATTGCCAACCTTTTTAAAACCCCATTTTAATTTATAAAATACAGTACATATTATTTTACATTTCTCCTCTTTGAATATACCAAACTTAAGATTTTTGCACATGATGTTTTTCTCTTAAGGTTTTCACATGGCTGCCTTCTCATTGTTTTGAACTCATCTCAAAGTCCCCCTTAGAGAGGTCTTACCTGATCATTCCAGCTAAAGCCGCTCACCTGTTACCCTTTCTAACTTTCACCCCAATTATCCACTTGAACATATTTATTTATTTCACGCTTATTATCTTTTCTTCCTCATGAGAATATGAGCTCCTCAAGAGCGAGGACTTGGTCTTATTTACCACTGTACTCCTAGATTTGCACATGATAGGTAGGTGTTCTCAAAATTCTTGCTGACCCACTGGCTGTTCTACGTACCTCACAGACTTGTTAAGAAGACAGCACAAAATAATGCATGTATTGCATCAAAGTGCTTGATACCATTTCCTTTGCATGTATGTTTGTTTTCCTGTGTCCTATCTGATTGTAAAAAGTGTTGAGACATCTGCTTAATACCCTAAATGTATATAAATAATCTATTATGTTGCCATTATTGATAATAGTAGCTACTATTAACAGTGCATTTACTCTGTGCCAGGTCATTTACACAGGTTATCTCTTTAAGTCTCATGTTAAACCTATGAAAGGTACTATTATCTCCATTTTTACACATAAGGAAGCTGAGGCCCAGAGAGTTCAAATAACTTGCCCCAAAACACATAGTTAATAAAGCCATGCCAGTCTGCCTCCAGACAAGCTCGTGTTCTTCACTTCTTTATAACGTTCTATCACTTCCTCAAAAAGTTGAGTATGTAATATGTGGCCTAGCACAGTAGCTTTTTTCATTTTCTTGATACCAAGCATAGAGTTCAAATATTTGTTCTTCCGGCTTTCCATTAGAAATGCTTTCTGCTTTCTTTTTTTTTTTAAGTAGTTAATTATTATTTTTAGAGACAGGGTCTCTGTTGCTCAGACTAGAGTGCAGTGATGTGATCATAGCTCTCTGCAGCAGCCTTGAACTCCTGGGCTCTGCTTTAGCTTATTGAGTAGCTGGAATTACAGGTGTGTACCACCACAAATGGTTATTATTATTATTTTTTAATAGAGACGGGATCTTGCTATTGCCTAGGCTTTTTTCTGCTTTCTCGGGGTGTCATTTCATCAGCTCTGGTTATTTACATTACACTTGTAAGTGAAAGAATACAAACTTACCCTGAATTCTTTATATTCATTGCATTTTTATTGTATTTAATATCTTGGGTGTTAGAAAGTTTCCAAGGTCTTTTAATGGTAGCCCAATGCAAATACTAGCTGGGCTAAATTGAGTTAATAACTTCCCAAATCCACCACAGCCTATTTTTTAAAACTTTATTTATAATACTAGATTGCAGCTGTGACCTAAGCTTTCAGTTTTTTCTGTGTAACTTTTGGTAACTCTCTTCATCTTTTTTTTTTTTTTTTTTTTTTTTTTTGAGACAGAGTCTTGCTCTGTCACTCAGGTTGGAATGCAGTGGTGCCGTCTTGACTCACTGCAATCTCTACCTCCTGGGTTCAAGTGATTCTTGTGCTTCAGCCTCCCAAGTAGCTGGGATTACAGGCATATGATACCATGCCCAGCTAATTTTTGTATTTTTAGTAGAGACAGGGTTTCACCATGTTGGCCAGACTGGTTTCAAACTCCTGACCTCAGGCGATCTGCCCGCTCAGCCTCCCAAAGTGGGCCATAACATTTGGCTGATCTTTCTGGACCTCACTGTCTTCATCTGCAAAATGAAGGGACTGGACTAGATATTTTTCTTTCTATTTATAATTCTAAGGTCTGTAGTTTGCATTAGGTTTCACTTTTGTGTTGTATGGGTTCTATGGGTTTTGACAACTGTGTAATGCCATGTACCCACAGTTACATAGTATCATATAGAATAGTTTCACCACCCTAAAAACTCCCATTGTCCTGCCTATTCACAACCACTGATCTGTTTATTGTCTCTATGTTTTGTGTTTTCCAGAATGTCTTATAGTTGGAGTGATGCAGTATGTAGCCTTTTAGACTGGCTCCTTTACTTAGCAATGTGCATTTATGGTTCTTTTATGTTTTTTTATCTATGGCTTGAGAGCTCGTTTGTTTTTGTTACTGAAAAATAATCCATTGTATGGGTATATCACAGTTCGCTTATTCACCTTTTGAATGACCTCTTAGTTGCTTCCAGTTTTTAGCAATTATGAATAAAGTTCCTAAAAATTTATGTGCGGGCGTTTTCTGAGCATAAGTTTTTAACTCAGCTAGGAATGTGATTGCTGGATCTCTGATAACCGTATGTTTAGCTTTGTAAGAAAATCACAACTGTTTTTCAAAGCAGCAGTACCATTTTATATTTCCCACCAATGAATGAGAGTTCCTGTTGCGCCACATCTTTGCCAGGATTTGGTGTTGTCGGTGTTTTGGATTTTAGCTATTCTAATAGGTATGTAATGGTATCTCATTATTGTTTTAATTTGTGATTCCCCAGTGACATATGTTGAGCAACTTTTCATATGCCTATTTGGTGCCTGTATATCATGTTTGGGGAGGTGCCTGTTCAGATCTTTTGTCCATTTTTTAATTATTCTTACTGTTAAGTGTTTTTGCTTTTTAGAGGCAGGGTCTTACTGTGTCACCCCGGCTGGAGTGCAGTGGCACTATCATATAGCTAACTGTAACCTCAAACCCCTTGGTTTAAGCAGTCCTGCCTCAGCCTCCGAAGTAGCTAGCACTACAGGCATGCACCTCCATGCCCCACTTACTATTGAATTTTAAGAGAGCTTTGTATATTTTGGACAAAAATCTTATATCAGATATGCATTTTGCAAATATTTTCTCCAAGTTTGTGACTTTTCATTCTTTTAATAGTGTCTTTTGCAAAGCAGAAATTTTTAATTTGAGTGAAGTCCAGCTTTCATGTATCATCCTTTTGGTGTTATATCTAAAAAGTCATTGCCATATCCAAGGTCATTTTGTTTTGTGTATATGTTTATGATCCATTTTTAAGTTAGTTTTTTGTAAAAGGTGTAAGGTCTGTGCCTAGATTTATATTTTTATTAATAAAGTTTCTGCTGGATCTGAAATTATTACTTTGATCAATGATATTAAAAGGTGAAAAACTTTTTTTTAAAGACCATTGTACTGAATCTGTGTAACTATATTGGTGCCATTCTTCAAAACTGTTCTTTGAAAGAGAGACTTAAAGTCAGTCTAAAGATGAGGCCAGAGAGAGCTTTATCTGGAACATATCAGGAAAAAGGACTAACAGTTCCATTTTAGTTATCTATTGTCAGAATGTGTGGTTGACTGAGTGCTGTAAGTGCAAATTGTTAGGAAAACTCTCTACAATTAAGAACGTTATTCTCCAATTGAATTACCTTGTTATTTGTCTATATTGCTGTTTCTTTGCTACTTTTTTGCCTAGTCTTACAAAGTTGCAAAAATCTACCTGTGATTTTTCCACAGTAGTTTGACCCTTCTCTACAATGAATCACTGAAACCCTGTAAACTTAAAATATCTCTTTCTATGATAGCTGACTTCAACTTAAGTTTTTGAAGGAGTTATTTGTTACATAGTAACATAAGCAGTTTTGCTTCTAAATGTTTCCTTAGTTTGTCTTTTGGCTTTTGAAAAATGTCTTGTCAACCAAGTCCTATATGTGTACCTTTATGTGTGGGGTGTGTGTGTATTGCCTAAGTGAGTCATAAAGCCTCTTAAATTTGAATCTGTACATTTTTATTTTTAAGTTTAAGAATTCAAGGTGGATTTGAATTCCTGAACAAGATTGATTTGAATGATATTCTTTTCAGCCTTTCAAAAATGTACTTTCTGAAACACTGTCATACGTACTATTCTCAGAGTACCATCCACCTTTTTTCTATGTTATTTTGCTTGCATCTTTCAGGAATAAATGAATAAACCACTTACATCAAGTTTACTCTTTAGTATTTTCTCCTGTTTTTCTGTTTTTGGTGACTCAAAATTTACTGTAGTATGCTTTGAATGACAATCTCCAGTATTTCTGATAGATATTAATGGATAGATTTTTAAAAATCAATAATTGCTAAGTCTATATTCATTTTACTCTTCCTGAAAGATTTGTGAGCCAACTCTAGCATATATACCCAACATACAATATGAATTTTATAAACCAATCTCACTACTGACTTTATTCTTATTTTTCTACTTATTTTTCTTATCCACCTTTTATGTGAATATATACATATATAGGGGTAAGATACTAAAATTTTGCATCATTTTAAAAAGCATTACATATTTCAAACAAAAAATAAGAGTAACAAAATAAATACCCTGTTAAACTACCCCTTGGAATGAACAAATGTTAACATTTTGCCTAATTTGCTTTAGTCTTTTTCTTTTCAATGAAATAAAATATCGCATATGTTTGAAAGTGCTCTTGGCATAGTCACATATTGTCTCTGCCTTTTAAGAAAATGTTACATAGAAGACATCTTATTATCTGTAACTTGCTTTCTCTTTTACTCAACAGTATATTTTCAGAGCTTTTCTACATTGCTAAATGTAGATCTTGTTTTTAAATTTTAGCTGGTATACAGCTTGTTTCATTGTATCAGTATGATACAACTTATTTACCCAGGCTTTTTGTTTTACAGAAATTTAAATTTTAATATAGTTTTATCATTTTTCCTTTTTTGATTTGTAAATTATCTTAAGAAATCTCTTCTTACCCAAAGTCTGAAACATTTTCTATTTTCTTCTAAAACAAAGGTTTGTTGTTCACATGTAGGTGTTCAGTCTAGCTGGCATTTGTTTTTGTGTTTGGCATGGAGTAGAGATATATGTTTATATTTTACAGTGTCAATAGCATATTATCCTGGCATAGTGAATATTGAATAGCAAATTCTTTCTCCATGTAAATGCCCTCTTTTTTATATAGCAAATTCCCACATATGTAAGTAGTTATTTACTCTCTTTTTTATCAATCCCTTTGTCTCATCTCAGGCCTATACCACTATTTTAATGACTAAAGTGCTGTAATAAATCTTAATAACTAGAAGAACAGCCCCATATTTTTGTTCTTTTTCACAGTGCCCTTACACATTTTTATTTGCTGTTATTCCTATCATTCATGTAGTTTCCGATGCTATTGTGCAAATGTATGTTTTGAAATTACATTTTCTAGATAGGTTATCTAGATCAGGGATCCCCAACTCCCTGGCCATGGACTGGTACTGGTTTGTGGCCTGTTAGGAACCAGTCCATGCAACAGGGGTTGAGCAACAGGTGAGCAAGCAAAGCCTCATCTGTGTTTATAGCCACTCCCCATTGCTTGCATTACCGCCTGAGCTCCACCTCCTGTCAGGTCGGGAGTGTCATTCGATTCTCACAGGATCACAAACCCTATTGCAAACTGCGCATATGAGGGATCTAGGTTGCATGCTCTTTATGAGAATCTAAAACCTAATGATCTGTCACTGCCTCTCCACCCCCAGATGAGACCATCTCATTGCAAAAACAAGTTCAGGGCTCCCACTGATTCTACATTGTGGTGAGTTGTATAATTATTTTATTATGTTTTACAATGTAATAATAATAGAAACAAAGTGTACAATAAATGTAATGGGCTTGAATCATCCTGAAACCATCCCATCCCCACCTCTAACCCAGGTCCATGGAGTCTCACTCTGTCGCCCAGGCTGGAGTGCAGTGGCACAATCTCGGCTCACTGCAACATCTACCTCCTGAGTTCAAGTGATTCTCCTACCTCAGCCTCCCAAGTAGCTGGAATTACAGGCACCCACCACCACGCCCAGCCAATTTTTGTATTTTTAGTAAAAATGGGGTTTCACCGTGTTGGCCGGGTTGGTGTCAAACTCCTGATCTCAGGCGATCCACCTGCCTTGGCCTCCCCAGAAACTGGGTTTATAAGTGTGAGCCACTGTGCCTGGCTAGAAAAATACATTTTTATTAATTAATTAAGCTCCCACCTCAACTAGCCAGGAAAAAGGTTTTGTCCTTTTGCCCTCTGGGCTATTTGACAACATATGCTGTTAAGACTTTAACAGCTGTGCCAACAAGTCTGGTTTGAAAAAAAAGTAAGGACTTAATGGTGTCTCTCTGCAGCTTCTCAACATCTCTGTGCATCAGTAGATTACTTCAGCCTTTCGAAACAGTTGTTCACCTCAGACATATGGGTCAAAAGTCACTGTAGTTAACATACTGAAGCTTGCTAATAGGAATAAGAATTGGAATTATGACTTTAGTGCTCTCAGTACCAAGGAGAGAAATGTGTATGGCAATCCTGTGTTTGTATTGCTTCATCACAGAATAACTCAGGCACCGCATTCAGTAGCTAGCACTCTCTCTGATATGAATGGCATAGACATCTTCCTTTTACCTTATATTGCTATGACTTTTCAGTAGGTTTTGTTTTGGAGCTCCACATAGCTTTTGATTCATTTCAGTTTAGCAAGCATTTATAAGTATTAAATTAGGTGCTGAGATTACAAAAATGAATGAGACTTTGATCTCTTTCCTCAAGGCTTGCAGTTCAATGGGGAAGACATGAACAGGATATTGTTTTATTATATATTAAACATATAGGTATGCACAGAGAAAAGTTAATTAGCCCAGCCTCAGGAAGCCAGGAAAGGGAAAACTTCATGGTCAGTTTAACTGATAAACTGTGTGTTTCATAATGGACAAGAATATTCCTGGAAGAGAGAACAATATGAACACTAGAAATATGTTCACTCAGCAGGGGCAGGAGAAAATAACTAGATAATGAGTCATGAGAGCCCTGTATGCCCTGAGAAGGTCTTTATTCTGCAGTCATTGAAGAGTTTGAAGCATTGAAGTAACATGGCTAGATCTTAATTTTAGGTAGATCACTCTAGGGGTACAGTAAAAGATAGTTTTAGTGAAACACAATTAGTAATAGGAAAATCACTTCAAAAGGCTACCGTAATGGTCTAGGCAGTAAATGATAAGGGCCTAGGCTAGGACTTCTAATCAGTGGTGGTAAGGATGGGAGAGAGGGTAGTTGATTAAAGAAGTGTTTTAGGTGTTGACATCCTCAGGACTTGAGGATGGGGAGTAGGAGGATGATCCTATTAAATGAGATTATGAATATAGGAAGAAAAACTGTTTTTAGGCCAAAGATGGTATTTTAAGTTTTGGGTATACATTTGAGGTGCCTTTGGGACATTCAAGTAGAAATGAACTCTGTTAAAATGCAGAGAAATGGTAGTCAGTACTTGCTAAAAAATTATTATCTTAGGCAGAAGTAAAGAACGAATAAATCAGTGCAAACTCCAAAGTGATATTGTCTCTTAAGAAGAGCTGGACCTGCCAGCCACTGTGGCTCACACCTATAATCCCGGCACTTTGGGAAGCTGAGGCAGGTGGAGTGCCTGAGCTCAGGAGTTCGTGACCAGCCTGGGCAACATGGTAAACATGGTAAAACTGCGTCTTTACTAAAAATACAAAAAATTAGCCGGGTATGGCAGCATGCACCTGTAATCCCAGCTACTCAGGAGGCTGAGTGAGGCAGGAGAATTGCTTGAACCCGGGAGGCGGAAGTTGCAGTGAGCCAAGATCATGCTACTGTACTCCAGCCTGAGCAACAAACAGAGTGAGCCTTCATTTCTTTAAAAAAAAAAAAAAAAAGGAAGAAGAAGAAGAGAGGAGGAGGGGGAGGGGGAGAGGGAGAGGGAGGAGGAAGAGAAGGAGGAGGAGGAGGAAAAGAAGAAGAAGGAAGAAGAAGGTCTGGGCCTAGAGAAGGCATTAGGTGTAAAAATTAGGTTTGTGCAGGAGCAGTATAAAGTTATAAGTAGGTTAAATGTGGGAAATCAAGCATTTCACTTTGTGAAAATCATGCACTGTTTATAGATTACCTATTGGAGACATTAGGATTATAGTATGATATAATGTTAAGAAACACTAGATATAGTAGTTTTTGATAGTTCAAAAGAGATTTTTTGATTTTTTGGTTTCTTAGTATCATTATGCACATCAGTGATTTTACTGACAAAAATTTGGATGAAATATCCAAAATAGAAAGATTTCTGATTATCAGTAATGGCTAACATTTATTGAGTGCTTATTGTGTACTAAGCTTTATTCTAGTACTTCATGTTGATTCATTACATATAATTATCTTAAATAGATAGTCATATTATTCCCATTTTGTAGATAGGCGGAACATTTAAGAAACTTACTGCAGATCACACAGGATTTATCCCCAAGGAGTTTTGCTGTAGAGCCTACCTCATAACCGCTGTGCTATACTTTGTTATCAAATAGTCTGGGTTACAGGTACATGAAAATATGAAAATGCATTATACAAACAAAAGTCCTTATGAAGTTAACATTTCTAGACATTAATAAGATTGCCATATTCTAAGATGAACCTTTTCTGCATTGCCTGCAAATTGATGCATATGATAGGAAAGTCTCCAAAAGAAAAGTGCTTAGGTATATAAATAATTGTTTTTCTTTCTGTCCTCAAGAAGTGTTGATGGTGATTATCTTCAGGGAGGGGAAAGTAGTGGGTATAGTTGGGAATCAGCAGTCCAGGAACAGAAAATTTTTTACTTTTCATTTTGTGACTTTCTGTGCTGTTTAGGTTTTGTTATGTATGGATATTAAAAAGAACATGTTAATGGGGGTTCTGTATAATGGGATTATGGGCTACTTTTTAAGTGTTTTAAATTAAACATTTATGGCACACAAATTATACTAACAGATATCATCCCAAGAATTACTAAGTAGGTTGACATTTATATTCAGTGGATTTTACACAGTTCCACAAAGAAACAATATTGTTATAAAATGGTTAGAAACATAGGGTCACTGTAAAACCGTTATTCCCTTGTTTCTATGGGGAAAGTGAATCTTCAGTTATAGATAGGGAAGGGGAAAATGTTAGTTCACTTTCTGCAGTCTTAGAAAATTCCTATACTTACACAGACACACACATATACACTCACTCACTCCCTCACTCATAGGTAAACATTTGATCTGGGGGTAGGATAGTTTTCCTGAGTGAAAGAGGTGCTCTAGTGGGGTATGACATGTGGCAGGGATAAGAGTCAGATTAGAATTTTTGTATCAGTTGCTCTAGAGAGGACTGTGTTGTGAGGACTCTGAGGACCTTAACGCACTAAAAATGGGGAAGTTAGCAGTTGTCGTTTGAATACCTGGTTTACTTGTAAATCACACTTTTGGATTGTAACTCTGTAGTGATCGGTTGGTGTTTATTTTCATTCTAAAGCAATTTTGGCCATCTAACAACTTATTTGGATGATGTGCTTGCTGTACATTGAAATTTGCAGTTTTAAAAGATCCCAGAGCAACCACAGTGTGCAATTTGTGCAGAGTTTGTACTACTCTTGGAATAGATGGGGAATGTATGTTTGAATTAGGAAAACACTGCTTTTCTGGAGAATTATAGAAGTTCTAAAAGAATTTTTTTCACTGTGGCATTGTTGAGAAGGGATTAATTTTTCTTAAAAAGAGCCAGGATACTCTGGATGTAATGAAAATATTAAGTTAGTGTTTGTGGCCTGTGAGCAAAAGAGGGAATATCAGATGTCAGAGTAGGACTGTAAATCATCATCCTTGGCAGAAATAAAGTTTGCTGTTTGTCTTTCTAAGTCTGGACAGTTACCAGGACCTGTGGTGAATTTTGCAATTTCATTATCGAAATCCCAGAGTGTGGAAGCATTTACATAGAGTCTAAGGTAGAGGTATTAGTTGTCTGATCTTACTCTTTGGGGTTCTTGTTTTAAAATGGATGAGACTTTTTATATTTAGAGGAATTATAAATATGGTTAAATGTGATGGAAAGGGAAACAATTTTATAATTTTTAATAGTGTCTTTTATAGTTATTTTAAAAATAAATCAACACCTATATGAAATTGTAAAGTACGTTTGAGAACCCTAAATTAACCCATCCCCAAAGATTCTGAGCATTCAGCATATAGCTTGGTATGCATTCCATCAACTGTATTTCAGTGGCTCTAAGACACATATTTTTAGAAATTCTAGAAATTAAAAAATGTCTAAAATAGGGAAATGTCATTATTGGCCTCAATTGAAGTCAGATTACTTCAGAAAGGTTTTGCATTTCACTCTGCCAGTTATTTGCACTACTACCAATCTGAGACCACTTTAAGTTAAATTCTCTGCCTGAAATATTTATTGTTTTGTTTTGTCTTTGCTGGTTTTGATGTGTTTTGTTTTTGACCCCACTGGTAATATGAATTCAGACTGCAAAGCTAAGTGAGTACTGTCTTTTAGATAAAATTCCTTCTCTCTTGTGTACAGTAGAGACTTTCAGGTTTCCTTGCTGTCTCTTTCTGAATGCTGGGTTTATCGTTCTTTTGCTTATATTGCATTCATAGCCCTTTTGTTGTTCTAGCTTTACATGGGAGGCCTCCTATTTGGGGTATTTTGTTGTTTTGGTGGTGGTGGTACATGAAAGAATAATACATCTTATAATGCATTGTGGCTTAGATTTGATCAAAGACTCATCAGACACTTGC